AAGGAAGGAAGGAAGGAAGGAAGGAAGGAAGGAAGGAAGGAAGGAAAAGGGTAGTCAGGAGAAATGAAAGGAAAGGCAAGGGAAGACAAGAAAGACAGAAAAAAGAAAACAGAAGAAAGAAAGAAAGGAAAGAGAAACAAAGAAAAAAGAAAAACAAAAGAGAAAGAAATAGAAACAGTGAAGAGAAAGAAACAAGAAAGAAAGAAAAAGAAAGAAAGAAGGAAAGAAAGAAAGAAAGAAAGAAAGGGAGAGAGGAGGAAAAGGGTAGCCAGGAGAAATGAAAAGAAAGAAGAAAGGAAAAAAAGGAGGGAAAAGAAAGATAGAAAACAGAAAAGAAAGAAAGAAAGAAAGAAAAGGAAGGAAAGAGAAACAAGAAAGAAAAAAAACAAAAGAGAGAGAAATAGAAACTGAAGAGAAAGAAACAAGAAAGAAAGAAAAAGAAAGAAAGAAGGAAAGAGAACAAGAAAGAAAGAAAAAGAGAAAGAAGGAAAGAAAGAGAAAGAAGGAAAGGGAGAGGGGAGGGGGAATGGTAGCCAGGAGAAATGAAAGGGAAGAAAGAGAGAAAAAAGAAAAGAAAGAAAGGGAGGGAGGGAGGGAGGGAAGGGGGAGGAGGGGAGGGGAGGGGAAGGGAAGGGGGAAGGGAACCCTGGTGGGGTAGGGGCTGGCTGGACCTCCCCCCAAACAGACTCAGGCCTCCTGGACTCTCACGGGGAGGGGGGGGAGCTGGGGAGGGCAGCCCAGGGGTAAAGAAGCCCAGGGGTAGAGACCCCCAGAGGGACCCCCAGCAGACCCTCCTCCCCCTCACCTGCTCTGCCCACCTGGGGCAACCCAGGGGAGCCCCGTCCCAGAGCCAGCCCCTCCCCCAGGGCTCAAGCCCCTCCGGGCTGCCCCTTCACGCCTCCCTCTCTCCCCCCCCCCGTCCCCCGCCCCCCCCTTCCTCGTGCAGAGCGCCCCCTGCACTACAGCGAGAAGGTCCTGCCCATCATGCACAGCCTGGGGAAGGACAGCTACCTGGTGGTGAAGAAGCAGCTCTCCATGGAGAACATGCTGCTTTACCTGGGTAAGTCGGAGCCGCAGGGGGACGGCAGGGGCGGGGGGGGGGGGAGAGGACGGGTCTGAGGACCCTTTCTGGGAGGGTGGGGGGCTCGGGGACCACTCCCCCCCCCATCCAGCTGGGAAACTCACCCTGCTGCCTGGACAGAGGAGCAACTGGAGGTCCTTGGGGGGGGGGCGGCACTGGGTGAACAATTGCCAGGTCAGGGAAGGAAGGAAAGCAAAGGGAAAGGAGGGAGGGAGGATAGGAAGAGGAGAAAGTGGGAAAGAAAGGGAGGGAGGGAGGAAGAGAGTGGGAAGGAAGGAAGGAAAGGAGGGAGGGGGAGAGAGAGGGAAGGAAGGAAGGGAGGGAGGGAGGGAGGGAGGGTGGAAGGAAGGAAGAGAGAGTGGGAAGGGAGGGAAGGAGGAAGAGAGAGTGGGAAGGAAGGAAGGGAGGGAGGGAGGAACAGAATGGGAAGGAAGGAAGGAAAGGAGGAAAAGTAAGGAAGAGAGTGGGAAGGAAGGGAGGGAGGAAGAGAATGGGAAGGAAGGAAGGAAAAGAAGGGAGGAAGGGAATAGGAAGGAAGGAAAGGAGGGAGGGAGGGAGGGAGGGAGGAAGAGAAGAGTGGAAGGAAGGAAGGAAAAAAGGGAGGAAGAGAATGGGAAGGGAGGGAGGGAAAGAGGGAGGGAGGAAGAGAATGGGAAGGAAAGAAAGGAGGGAGGGAAAGAGGGAGGGAGGAAGAGTGTGGGAAGGAAGGAAGGAAGGACAGGGAGGGACGGGGAGATAGAAAGGGAAGGGAGGGAGGGAGGGAGGAAGAGAGAGTGGGAAGGAAGGAAGGAAGAAGGAAAAAAGGAGGGAGGCAGAAGGGAGGAAAGAGTAGGAAGGCGAAGACACCCCCCCCCCGCAGCCCTGACTGCCCCCTTGCCAGTGACTTGTATTGCTCCAATAGCAGCTGATGGCTTCCCTGGTGGGACAATGTGGAGTTAGGAAGCCACATCTGTCACCCTGGTGGAACCTCTGGGTACAGGAGCAGTCTACCTTGAAGCAGCAAATGATGCTAACCCTCATTGGGAGGCCTTGGGGCTCCCCCCCCCCGCTGCTCTCCCGCCTGGGGCGCTGGACTGCTGCCGGAAGACGCTCCGGGTGGCTGTGGCTCCCCCTCGGGTGGAGTGGGGAGGACGGGGAGGGGGGGTGTCTCACAGGACCCCCCAGCGGGCCCTCCTCCCCTGGTCTTCCCAAAGGCCTTTCAGAAGAGGCTCCCTTGGCTGCCTCTCCGGCCCTGCCTCCCCTCCCTCTGGGGGGGCGCCCCAAATGGCCCCCCCACACCCCTCTTCCTCCTCCCCCCAGCCAGCAAGGTGGGCGACAGCAAACACGGCTTGATGAAGTTCCGAGAGGAGAAGAACGTCCTCGGAGTGGGACTCAGCACCGGCTTCCATGACCGATACTTCATCCTCAACAACCACTCCCTCCGCCTCTACAAGGAGGTCCGGGTAGGTCCTCCGCCTCTGGATTGGAATTCGAATCCCTTCCTCGCCCTCGCTCTACTCCCCTCCCAGCTGGACTACTGCCGGGCGCTCTGTACGGGGCTGCCCTGGAAGAGTATCTATCTGGAAGCTCCCATTGGGTCAAGACTACAGCTCACGGTCGCCTGGTGATGGGCTCATCACCCAGCCAGCTTTCATGTCTAAGGCGGGACTAGAACTCACCGTCTCTTAGTGATTGGCTCAAACACCCCCAGCTGGCTTTCATGCCTAATGTGGGACTAGAACTCATGGTCTGCTGGCGATTGGCCCAAAGTCACCCAGCTGACTTTCAAGGCAGGACTAGAACTCACAGTCGCCTGGTAATTGGCCCAGAGTCACCCAGTTGGCTTGCATGGCTAAGGCGGGACTAGAACTCCCTGTCTCCTGGTGATTGGCCCAGAGTCACCCAGCTGGCTTTCATGCCTAAGGCGGGACTAGAACTCCCCGTCTCCTGGTGATTGGCCCAAAGTCACCCAGCCGCCTTTCATGCCTAAGGCGGGATGAGAAGTAGGCGGGGCCACTAGACCAAGCAGGCTCCCTCTGTCCGCCTTTAATGTCCACCTTGAATGGTGGATGTGGATTTTGACGCTTTCGGAGGTGGGATGTGGCGCCCCTCGTGGGGACCTGCGCTGGTCCGTGGGATGTGGGGAAGCCCTGCCCTTTTCCCCTGTTCACACCGTCCTTCTTCTCTCACCCAGAGCCATAAACCCGAGAAAGAATGGCTGGTCAAGAACCTGAAGATCTACCTGGGAATTAAGAAGAAGGTCCGTCCACCAACCTGGTAAGTGGAGCAGACGAGTCCCACTTAATGGTTGTCCCTTGCCAAGGGGGAACTACCCCAGCCCAGGTGGGCTTGCTCCCCTGCAAAGATGTCTCGGGAGACTCTCCGTCATCCCAATCACTGTGGCTGTGGTCCCAAAAGTGCTTTTTTCAAGAGTAAGCTAGATTTCCTGGCTTGTAATAATAATAATAGTAAAGTTGGAAGGGACCTTGGAGGTCATCTAGTCCAACCCCCTGCTCGGGCAGGAAACCCTACACCATTTCGGACAAATGGCTGTCCAGTCTCTTCTTAAAAACTTCCAGTGTTGGAACATTCACCGCTTCTGGAGGCAGGCTGTTCCACGGGTTAATTGTTCTCACTGTCAGGAAGTGTCTCCTTAGTTCTAGGTTGCTTCTCTCCTTGGTTGGTTTCCATCCGTTGCTTCCTGTCCTGCCTTCAGGTGCTTTGGAGAAGAGCTTGACTCCCTCTTCTTTGGGGCAGCCCCTGAGATAATGGAACGCTGCTATCCTGTCCCCCCTCATCCTTCTCTTTGTTAAACTAGACATCCCCAATTCCAGCCACTGTTCCTTATATGTTTTAGCCTCCAGTCCCCTAATCATCTTTGTCTTTGAAGACGTTTCGCTTCTCCTCCCCGAAGCTTCTTCGGCTCTGACTGTGCACGCCGGGGAAACGACACGACCACTTCACAAACGCACGGCGCCACAGAGGAGAACAAACCCATCAGGACTAGAGTCAGCGGTCCGTCCCTCTGCCTTTAAAAGACAAAAGCCACTTTATTTTTGAGGGCAGCAAAGTCCACATTTTGGACAGAGAGGACCGCTGGTTTGAAAGAGGGGTGCAAGAGGTCAAAATGGAGCAGACCTCCCTCAACAGAGGGGCGGGGGATACGACATCCTCTATCTCCAGTCTACAACACGGTCCTTTCAGCAGTCCCAAGGAGGCCCCACGCCCATTTGCACCACTCGGGTGACCCCGAGGACTCAGACGAACTTCCCAGTGGCCTCAACAACTCTCTAGACCAGTGGTTCTCAACCTTTTTAATGCCGTGACCCCCAACCGATCGTAAGTCGAGGACTACTCAACTGGTGCAGCACCGTTTGCAGAATGGGACTTTTGGCGGGCTCAGCAGGGCAGAGACAGCCTGGACAATTCCTATTGGCTTTTGAAAGCCAATAGAATTAGACTCTATTCAAGAGAGTCTATTCTATTGGCTTTCAAAAGCCAATAGAATAAAAGGGAGTAGCACAGCTAAGGAAAAGGGGGAAAAAATGGCGGACTGCGTTGTTTGGCGACCCCCGTGAAATGGTCCTTCGACCCCAAATGGGGTCCCGACCCACAGGCTGAGAACCGCTGGTCTAGAAAGGTGCAAACGACCAGCGGTCTGCAAGGAATATAAATATAAATGACATCCTCTATCTCCAGTCTACAACACGGTCTTTTCAGCAGTCCCAAGAAGGCTCCACGCCCATTTGCACCACTCAGGTGACCCTGAGGACACAGGTGAAGCTCCCAGTGGCCTCAACGACCCTCTAAAAGGGTGCAAACGACCAGCGGTCTGCAAGGAGTATAAATCCTTCCGTTTCCCACCCTCCAGTCAGAACCTGAAGAAGCTTCTTTGGAGGAGAAGCAAAACCTCTTCAAAGAAAAACAAGTCAGTCCAGTTCCTTCTTTTTTTTTTTTTTATTTTTTTTTAACTCAACCCATCCACCCCCCACCCCCCTTCCCCCACCCCGACTTCCCAGAGCAAAATACAGGATTATGCAAACATATTAAACACAATCTATTTAAGTTTACTAATTATACAATGAACAAAATCATAAAAAAAACCCTTAACCCTCTTCAAACTTTAACGTCGTAAGTTTATAAACAAAATCATGACTCACAAAATAAGTAAAACTTCGAAATTCCCTATTTCTTCTGAACATCTTCTATCCATACGTTAAGATATCTCTCTCTTGTGAGTGGTCCTTTAAAGAAGCAGAAATTTTAGCCATTTCTGCTAAATCAGAAACCTTGGATGCAGTTCCTTCTTGGGGAAAAAAAAAAAAAGCACTTTTGGGATTCCCTACCACAGGGGTCCCCAACCCCGGGCTGTGGACCAGCACCGGTCCACGGCACGTCGGAAATCAGTCCACGCTAACAAGCGAAGCCCCATCCGCGGGATGCAGGCAGCACGTGAAACCAGGCCCCCTCTGGGTCCACGGAAAAGCCCCTCTCCACGGAACCGGTGGTCCCTGGTGCCCCCCCCCCGCGGTGGGGGGGGCGCTGCCCTACAAGGGGCGTTTGTAGGCCAAGATCTTCAACAGCCCTGCATGGCCAGGGAGATAAGGCAGCCATTCCTGCTTCGGGCCAGCAGGGGGCAGCCTTGCCCCATGGAACAGGTCTCATTCAGCTCCTGGCCCACCAGCCAAAGGAGGAGGGGGGGGGGCTAAAGGTGTAAAATATCCTTTTGACAGTGCCCAGGATGAGCCAATGAAGAGAGGGGGGGGGCTGCAGAAGACCCGGAAGGGCATTTTGAAATGCGGGGGGGGGGGAAGGGAATCGCCCCCCCTTGTGGGGTTGGATGTGGGGCTGACCCCCCCCCCCAAAGTGCACTGGGATGGGCTGCCCGGCACCAAACCCAGGGCCTTAATCCTGGGAACCAACCTCCCCCCCCCCCCGGTCTCCATCCTCCCTCCCCCCCAGAGCCTGTGGAAGGATGTCTGATCAGTGTAAAATTCGAATCTTAGGCTCACTCCAATTTGGGGGGGTTTGCACCGTCTGGGCAAACTTCCTGCTGCAGTTGGGGGACTGCATAGAAGCCCTCTCTTTCCCCCCCCCTCTTCCCAACGTCTTCAACCTGTTGCATGAAAGACCCCCTTGCAACGATTGAGATTCTCCGCGTCCTGCTTTGTCCCAAAAATGTTTTTCCCAGGAAGCAACTGGACTTTCTTGTTTATCTTTGAAGATATTTTGCTTCCTATCCCAGAAGCTTCCTCGGCTCTTAATAGATGGTGGGGTAATGGAAGGATTTATACTCCTGGCAGAAAAATGGGTCATTTGCCTACTTTTAGAGCAGGGGTGTCAAGCTCAATTTCATTGAGGGCCGCATCAGCATTGCGGTTGCCCTCGGGGGGGGGACGGGTGAGTGCGGCCAACTGGATGGGCGTGGATGGAGTGGGTGTGGCCTACTGAATGGGCGTGGCCAGCTCTACATCGTTCGCGTCAAGGGTGCCTGTGGGGGCCTGGGCAAGAGTGGGGCAGATCTGGGGGTCTCTGGCAGAAGGGGGTGGGACCGGGGCAAGCGCCAAGGCATGGTCCATTTCTTCATTCCCCACAAAGGGGGACACCTCCCCAGCGTGCACCCAGGGGGTGGGACCGACGCGGCAGGGGCTGGTTCCTCGCTGTTTCCAGACGGCCTTGTGGAGCTAAGCCCGAATGCGTTTCAGCATAGATGGCCGCCACAAAATTGTACATTGGCTCCCGGACGGCCTCAGCCAGGGCCAAGGCAGTGGGGGCCGTTCCCTCACTGTTTCCAGGATGGCTTCACGGGCCATGTGAAACCACTTCGCGGGCCGCCTCTGGCCCCCGAGCCTTGGGTTTGATATGTCTGTTTTAGAGAGTCATTGAGGCCACTTGGAGGTTGACCTGTATCCTCGGGGTCAGCTGAGTGGTGCAAATGGGTGTGGGCCCACCTTGCTGAAAGGGCCGTGTTGTAGACTGGAGATGGATGATATCGTTTACGTTTCTATTCCTTGTAGACAGCTGGTCATTTGCATCCTTTTAGCCAGTCGTTGAGGCCACCTGTTTTTTCTGCAGGATGCTTTCTTTCCTGGTGTCCCTTGACTGTCAAACACAGGTGCAGGCTGTTGGGGGGGGGGTGAGTCTGTATTGTCTGCATCTCCAGCTGAAGTGCAAATGGACACAGACAAATCTCCAAGTGGCCTCAACGACCCTCTCAAAGAAGGCAAATGACCAACTGTCTGCAAGGAGTATAAATCCTTCCGTTCCCCACCATCTATTAAGAGCTGAAGTAGCTTTTTGGAATCCTTACCTGCCCCGTGTGCCAGTTGCTGCCGAAGGGGGAAGCGTGAAGCTGTGGGGGTGGGGGAGAAGTGGAGCCAGGGTGGGCTTTTGTGCACACACCCACACAACCTCACAAGGTCCCTTTGCTTCTCTTTCCCAGCTGGGGCTTCACCGTCTTCTTTGAGAATGAAAAGATGGAGAAGCAGCAGTGGTAAGGGGACCGGGACTGGAAGCTGGAGGGAGGAGGGGGGGGTTGGTTTGATGCTTATCCTGCCCTAAAGCTAAAAGGCCGGGGGGGGGGCTGAAAACTAGTGGGGGGTTCAACCCCCACCACGGCATCCATTCCAATATTTTATTTCCTCTGACCAATCACGTTCAGTTCTTGGAGAGTTTCTGGACAAAATCTTGCCGTTTCATGGCAAGGTGTTTCAGAAGGGACAGCCGTTGCTTCCTTCCCAGGGCTGTGAAAGAGTGGCTGGCTCAGGGTCACCCAGCCAGCTTAAGACAGGACTAGAATTCTCCACGTCTCCCGGTGATCAGTCCAGAGTCACCCAGCTGGCTTTCATGCTTAAGGTGGGACTAGAACTCACTGTCTCTTGGTGATTGGCCCAAAGTCACCCAACTGTCTTTCATCCCTAAGGCGGGACTAGAACTCACCGTCTCTTGGTGATTGGCCCAGAGTCACCCAACTGGCTTTCATGCCTAAGGCGGGACTAGAACTCACCGTCTCCTGGTGATTGGCCCAAAGTCACCCAACTGGCTTTCATCCCTAAGGCGGGACTAGAACTCACCGTCTCCTGGTGATTGGCCCAAAGTCACCCAACTGGCTTTCATGCCTAAGGCGGGACTAGAACTCACAGCCTCCTGGCGATTGGCCCAGTGTCACCCAACTGGCTTTCATCCCTAAGGCGGGACTAGAACTCACCCTCTCCTGGTGATTGGCCCAAAGTCACCCAACTAGCTTTCATGCCTAAGGCGGGACTAGAACTCCCCGTTTCCTGGTGATTGGCCCAAAGTCACCCAGCCGGCTTTCATGCCTAAGGCAGGACTAGAACTCACCGCCTCCTGGCCATTGGCCCAGAGTCACCCAACTGGCTTTCATCCCTAAGGCGGGACTAGAACTCACCGTTTCCTGGTGATTGGCCCAAAGTCACCCAACTGGCTTTCATGCCTAAGGCGGGGCTAGAACTCACCGTCTCCTGGTGATTGGATCAAAGTCACCCAACTGGCTTTCATGCGTAAGGCGGGACTAGAACTCACTGTCTCCTGGTGATTGGCCCAAAGTCACCCAACTGGCTTTCATCCTTAAGGCGGGACTAGAACTCACTGTCTCCTGGTGATTGGCCCAAAGTCACCCAACTGGCTTTCATGCGTAAGGTGGGACTAGAACTCACCGCCGCCTGGCGATTGGCCCAGAGTCTCCCAGCCTGTCTCAATCAATGACGCTGGGTACCTTATAATTCCCACAATAGAAAAGCAACGAAGACAATAAAAAGCATTTTTAAAATGCGAAAAATGTGCAAAATAAATCTGCACAGCAGCCAAGATAGTTCGTTAACAGGACGGATAGTCCTCAACTTAAAACAATTTGCTTAGGGACCGTTTGAAATTATAATGGTGCTGGAAAAATGTGGCTATTTTTTACGACGGTGGCAGCCTCCCCGCGGTCACGTGATCCAAATTCCGACGCTTGGCAACCGACTCGCAGTTACGACGCTTTGTGACGTCCCGGGGGTCCCGTGATCCCCTTCTGCGAACTTTTCCCAAGCGAAGTCAGGGGGGGGGGGAATCCAGATCCACTTAACGACCGTCTTACTAATTTAACAAGTGCAGCGATTCCCTGAACAACGGTGGCAAGAAAAGCTGTAAAATGGGGGCAAAACTCACGACAGCTGTCTCGCTTAGCCACAGAAATTTGGGGCTCCTTCGGGGTCGTAAGTTGAGGACTACCTGTATTAGCAAGAAATGGGGGGGGGCTTTGCCCCTTCAGCCCCCCCCCTCCCCGCCCAGGCTCAAGAGCCCAGCCAGGTTTTTAAAATCTTGCAAAAAAAGGCCAGCCAGCTCGGGGTGGATGTTGCACAGAACAGGGGCCGCTGCGGAAAAGGCCCTGCACTGGCCTCTCTTCTGTGGGGCAGGATTGGGGGGGGGTTCTGGGGGTGTTCAATTCTCCTTTGCACTGTTCTCACCCCCCCTCCCCTGCCCGGGCCGGTACCTTTGCTGTGACACCCAGATGGAGATGCGGACGTGGTTTGCTAACTTCCTCTCCATGCAGGTAAGTTTAAGGCAGCCTCCACCTGGGGGGGGGAAGATAGGTATTCTGGGGGGGGTCTCCTTCCTCGTTTTTTCATGCCTGCATCCTGGGAGGGAGCATGTGATCTCTCCCCCCCCCACTGCACCTGGCTGCAAGCCTGGGACCCCCAGTGAAGAGAAGCCGTAGGCTCCCTTTGGTTGAACGTAGAATCCTAGGGTGTGGAGGAACCCTGGAGGTTGTCTAGTCCAACCCCCCGCCCGAGCAGGAAACCCTGGTGAGGCCAGGGGCCTCTTCGCACAACCCCTTGTGCTGCCAAGTGTGTTGCACGCTCGTGAGCAGGAAGCCTTGCAAGTGCAGAGGTCCGTCTGCCAGCTTCTGCTTCCCGGGGATTCTGGTCTGCTTGTTGCGGCTTCAGGGCCATGAGGACTAAGAACTTGGTCCCTCTGGGCCCCGCAGAGCGGGTTCCTGGCTGAGCCTGGCTTTGCTGAAGGGTGTGAGGCGGGACACAGATGGAGGGGTCTGGCGGCTGGTGCCCTCCGTGGATGATGCTTCCCAGAAGACGGATGCGGGGGTCTTAATCTCTCTGTTTCTTCCTCCCACCCCACCACCCCAGCACGGAGGCAACGTCTGGCCCTCGGAGTCCTCCAAGATCCGGACGCCTCAGACGCAACCGGACTCTCGGCTGGGCAACGTCTCCCTGATTCCCCTGCGAGGCAGCGAGAACGAGATGCGGAACAGTGTGGCGGCTTTGGTGGCTGATCCCTTGACGGTGGGCCCGATCCCTTCCCTTCCCTTCCCTGATTCTTTCTTTCTTTCTTTCTTTCTTTCTTTCTTTCTTTCTTTCTTTCTTTCTTTCTTTCTTTCTCTTTTTCTTCCTCCCTCCCTCCCTCTTACTTTCTCTTCCTTCCTTCCTTGCTTGCTTGCTTCCTTCCCTCCCTCTCTCCCTCCCTCCCTCCCTTCCTTCTTTTTGTCTTCCTTCCTTCTTTCTTTCTCCTTCCTTCCTTCCTTCCTTCCTTCCTTCCTTCCTTCCTTTTGTCTTCTTTCTTTCTTTCTTTCTTTCTTTCTTTCTTTCCTTCCTTCCCTTTGTCTTCTTTCTTTCTCTCTCTCTCTCTCTCTCTCTTTCTTTCTCTTTTTCTTCCTTCCTCCCTCCCTGTCTTACTTTCTCTTCCTTCCTTCCTTCCTTGCTTGCTTCCCTCCCTCCCTCTCTCCCTCCCTCCCTCCCTTCCTTCCTTCCTTTTGTCTTCCTTCTTTCTTTCTCCTTCCTTCCTTCCTTCCTTCCTTCCTTTTGTCTTCTTTCTTTCTTTCTTTCCTTCCTTCCTTCCCTCCTTCCTTCCTTCCCTTTGTCTTCTTTCTTTCTTTCTTTCTTTCTTTCTTTCTTTCTTTCTTTCTTTTTCCTCCCTCCCTCTCTCTTACTTTCTCTTCCTTCCTTGCTTCCCTTCCTTCCTTCCTTCCTTTTGTCTTCCTTCCTTCTTTCTTTCTCCTTCCTTCCCTCCTTTTGTCTTCCTTCCTTCCTTCCTTCCTTCCTTCCTTCCTTCCTTCCTTCCTTCCTTCCTTCCTTCCTTCCTTCCTTCCTTCCTTCTCTCCTTTTTTTTTGTTTTCTCTTTCTCGTCTCTTTTTATCTATAACCCACTTCCTTCCTCCCGCCCTCCTATTCCTCCCCCTCCTGTCCCTCCCCTTGCCCCTTCCCCTCCCCCTGGCTGGTTGAGGATCTCTGAAGACCCCCACCCCACCCTGTGTCTTCTGACCTTGCCTCCTTTTCCCTCTAGCTCCTTCGGGATGTGTGAATCCGGCAGACACGCACCAGGTAAATGAAAAGCCCATCCTGCAGTGGTCAGGGTGGATGGCCCTCTGGCTGGAGGCGGGGGGGGGGGTGACGTTTGGGAGCCCCCCACTTTGTCCCCTGGGCTTTGCGGAAATTCTGGCCACCTGCGGATGCTGCCCCCCCCAATTCTTCCCCTCCCCAACTCTCTCTTTCCTTCCTTCGCAGGTCGGACAAGCACAGCGAACGGCGGTCCAGCAACCGGAGGGGGGGCAAGCGGGGAGGGGAGGGAGGGGTGCCCAGTTTCCAAGACAGACCCTTTGGGGGTCCCCGGAAGACCGAAAGCAGCAGGAACGACACCTCCAAACGGATGCGGGGGGGGGGAGGATTCTCACAAGCCTGGATCTGAAGCCGGTCCTCAACGCCCACCTGGTTCATTTCTGTGCCAGGAACAAGACGTGCCCCCCCCACCCCAATGCAGCCTGGTGGGCTTCCTGGGGTCTTTGCCTACCCCTCAAAGCCCCCCCCCCCAAGACCTTCCCTGCTCTGATGGGCGATCGGGGCAAAGGACACTACGTGGTGTAGTCTGGGTTTTACCAGGCCCCGGAACGTTTGCTGGAGACACGGATCTTCGGGGTGCAAGGAGACCCCCCTCCCGTCCTCCCCCAGCAGACCAAGCTGGGTGGGGTGTTTGGGGGTGACTGGGAAGGGACCTGCTGTCCACCCCAAACATTTCAGCTCCTGTCCCTTTCTCTGAACCCCTGCAACCGTGGGGCGCCGAGCGCAGAAGAGGGAAGCCGCATCCATCAAGGTGACTGGCTTTGACCAGCTGTTCTTCCCTCCCATTTGGGGGGGGTCCCCAATTCTGCCTCCCCCCTCTCTTCTACAGACTCTGGGGGGGGGGTCTCTCACCTGGAAGAAGGAAAGACAGACAGCAACGGCTTGGCAGAAGCCCAGCAGGGGCAGGGGGCTACCGAGACTGCGGCTGGCAGGATAGGGGGGGACTTCTCTCTCCCCCCCCCCCATGGACAGGGACGGAAAGCCCAGCTGTGCATGGGCGCTGTGAAAAAGGGACGGGCGCCGTTCGTTTCCAGCTGATGTATTTTTTTTTTGTCTTTTTGTAATCAGAATAAAGTTCTCAGAAGAAATTGGAGTGGATGGGGAAGGGGCTTGTAAGGGGTTGGTGGAGGGCTACTGCCCTGTATTGGTGGGGGGGGGCTCCTCCGTGGCTGTAGTCTAGACCACGTTTTTTTCAAAGTTGGCAACCTGAAGGTGGGTGGAGCTGCTAGAACAGTGGCGGCGAACCTATGGCACGCGTGCCAGAGGTGGCACTCGGAGCCTTCTCTGTGGGCACGCGCGCCGTCCCCCCACCCCGCCTCCTCCACGGCCCCCTCCTCACCAACAGCCCCCTGGAGGAGAGTCACCAGCGCAGCCAAGGACATGGTAGCCGGGCAGCAGAGACAACACTGCCCTTGTGCCACATTGCGCCCAGATGATGCTGTGGTGCATGGGTGGAGTGCATGGCCGCCATGATGCTGCTGGGTGATCTGTGGTGGGCCGTGAAGGTGGTGGGTGGCCCAGTGGGCACAGCGGAGCAGGGACAGGGGTGGGGGGCAGTTTTGGGGCACTTGGTCTCTAAAAGGTTCGCCATCACTGTCCTAGAATGCCCCTGCCAGCATGGGGGAACTTCAGTTCCCAGAATTTCGCAGCTAGCAAAGGTGGACTACAATTCCCAGGATTTCCCAGCCTAGCAAGGCTGGACTACGATTCCCAAGATTCCCCAGTTAGCTAGGGTGGACGTCAATCCCCAGGATTCCCTAGCTAACAAGGCACTTCCAACTCCCAGAATTCTGCAGCCAGCATGGGGGGACGACTCCATCTCCCAGAATCCCTCAACGTCTTCAACTTCGTCTCCCAGAATTCCTCAGCCAGCATGGGAGAACTTCAATTCCTCAAATTCCCCACTCAGCAAGGGGGAACGTCAACTCCCAGAATTCCCCAGCTAGCAAGGGTGGACTACAACTCCCAGAATTCCCCAGCTAGCAAGGCTGGACTACAATTCCCAGGATTCCTCAGCCAGCATGGGGGAACTTCAATTCCCCACCCAGCAAGGGAAAACTTCACCTCCCAGAATTCCCCAGCTAGCAAGGCTGGACTACAATTCCCAGAATTCCCTAGCTAACCAGGAGGAAATTCAACTCCCAGAATTGTGCAGCCAGCATAGAGGAGGGACTTCATCTCCCAGAATTTTCAACTTCATCTTGCAGAATTCCTCAGGCAGCAATTTTGGAGTTGGAAGTCCACCCATCTTAAACATGCTAAGTTTGGAAAACACCGCCCTGGATCCTGGATAACCGTGTTAACTAATAGCAGCGTTCCGATATCTCAGGGGCTGCCCCAAAGAAGAGGGAGTCAAGCTATTCTCCAAAGCGCCTGAAGGCAGGAGAAGAAGCAACGGAGGGTAGCTCGCCAAGGAGAGAAGCAACCTAGAACTAAGGAGAAATTGGGGGTTGGACTAGATGACCTCCAAGGTCATTTCCAACTTTATTATTATGTGTAAGTTGAGGACTCTATACTACAGTTCCCATCCATGTTATTTACGACAAGTTTGGCCTGGTGCCAGCCAGGTACTTTTCTGCTGCTTCCTGGCGCGTTTCCCCTTTGATCCCGGGTTCTCATGGGAACCATTGTTTCTTTCAAGAGCCACCATTTGTGGTTAGATTAGCCATCTTCATCCTGGCTCTTTCCCCCCCCCCCACCCGTTGCCAAGGGGTGTTTCATCCTTGATCCCTTTTTCCACTCGTCCCTTCCAGGAAATATTCGGTGGAAAGAATAGAGGAAACAAAGAGAATCAATCTGTTTTCTTTCTCCCAAAAGAAAACGGGGTAATAATCGGATCACAAAAAAAAACAGCTGACAATCTCTCCTGAGCGCACAACACAGACCGACGCTCCCAAGGTAGCGAGAGGCAGATTCCAGAGAATATTAAACAAGAAATAGCAATTTGCCCACGCAGCGTACAATGAAGAGAAGCAGGTTGAACATGGAATCCCAGGACAGGGCGGGACCCTGGAGGTCTTCTAGTCCAACCCCTGCCCAAGCGGGAAAACCCTGCGCCATTCCAGACAATCTGGTGGTCCAATTTCTTCTTAAAAACCAAGAAACCCAAGTGGGGGGACAGCCAAAGGGGAGAGGGGAGCCCCTGCTTTGCCTTCTGGTGACCCCCCCCCATTCCAGTCCGGGTGATCAGAGACTCTTATCCGCAGCAATCAGGCAAAATTTAAAACTTGTTCCCAGCTTGGTGTGCAAAGATCCAGAAGTGATCTAGAAGGGAGCTATGCGTGATGCAGGCTGAGTTCTGAAATAGACTAGAATAGACTAGAATAGAATAGAATAGAATAGAATAGAATAGAATAGAATAGAGAATATGGAATAGAATAGAGAATAGAATAGAATAGAATATAGAATAGAATAGAATGGAATATGGAATAGAATAGAATAGAGAATAGAATAGAATAGAATACATAATATAGAATAGAATAGAATATGGAATAGAATATGGAATAGAATAGAATAGAATACATAATATAGAATAGAATAGAACAGAATAGAATAGAATATAGAATAGAATAGAATAGAGAATATGGAATAGAATATGGAATAGAATAGAATAGAATAGAATAGAATAGAATGGAGCTGGAAGGGACCTTGGAGGTCTTCTAGTCCAGCCCCCTGCTCAAGCAGGAGAACCTATACCATCTCAGACAAGTGACTGTCCAGCCTCTTCTTAAAAATCTCCAGTGATGGAGCGCCCATGATTTCTGGTGGCAAGCTGTTCCACTGGTTAATTGTCCTCCCTGTTAGAAAGTTTCTCCTTAATTCCAGGTTGCTTCTCTCTTTGGTTAGTTTCCAACCCTTGTTTCTCGTCCTGCCCTCTGGTGCTTTGGAGAAGAGTTTGACCCCCCCTCTTCTTCTTCTTTTGCTCCAGAGGTGCCCCTTCCTCTCACAGCCCCCCCCCAAGGGTCTCGTAGGCTTTGAGGAGAAGCAACTTTCTCCAACATGGTTTTATCTCAACGTGGCTTGGAAGAAATCCAGAGAAGCTGCCTTCGCTAATGCAAAGATTGCCTCCGCATTAATGGAAGGGATGCTTTGTGTCTTCGTTGTGGGTCCCTTGGCAAGCAGACCCCCCCATTAGCAGGAGGGCAGAGGCTGGAGGGGGGGCATTGAATTGAATGTCCCCCCCCATTAAGACAGGCAACCCAGCAGCGGGAGGGGGAAGCCTTTTAGAAAAGCAAGAAACCAATTTCAAGAGAGATGCAACCTGGAACTAAGGAGACGTTTCCCAACAGCGAGGATAATTACAGAGAGTCCTCAACTTACGACCGCAACTGAGTCCAAAAACTCCGTCGTTAAGCCAGACAGTTCTTAAGTGAGCTGTGCCCCCATTTTACGACCTTTTTTTTTGCCCTCGTCATACAGCAGATCGCCGCCGTTCTTAAGTTAGCGCATCTGGCTTCTCCCTTGACGTCGAGGGTCAGGCGGTCGCAAAAGCGGATCGGGGGAAACTGCGGCCGTCATAAATAGGAACTGAAGGTCCGAATTTTGATCGGGAGGCCCCCCCAAGGAGGCTGCGACGGTCACCAGTGTGAAAAATGGTCACGGCGCTTTTTTTTGCCCAGGGCTGTTGTCGTTCCGAGTGGTCGCTAAACAAATTGTTGTAAGTTGAGGACTCTCTGGGATCCGTGGGATGGCTTTTGTCGCCGGAGGTTTTCAAGAAGAAACTGCCCAGTCATTTCCCAACCGTGAGAACAATAAACCAGCGGAACGACTTGCCACCAGAAGTTGTGGGTGCTCCAACACTGGGCAGTCATCGGTCTTGGGTGATATAGGGTCTGCTGCCTGAGCAGGGGGTTGGACTAGAGGACCTCCAAGGTCCCTTCTGACTCTGTTATTCTGCAAGGGTCTCCTGCCTGAGCAGGGGGTTGGACTAGAGGACCTCCAAGGTCCCTTCCAATTCTGTTATTCCGATTGACTGATTTACTGATCGTTGTGCATGGGTTTCCTTCCTCCAGTTGCGGGAAACACATGAAGCTAGAATTTGGCTTCATTGGCTGTTGCCTTCACACACACACACACACATGCACACACACACACACACACACACACACACACACCCCCCCCTTTTCCTTCTCTCTTGTTTTCCTACCCCTAATTCCCAAGCTCTGCCCATAAAGCCTTGACATTTGAGAAACCCCAATGCCTCGCTTTTAATGCCAGCCAGCCTGATATTTACCCAGCCAGCTGGTCCTCGACTCCTCCGAGAAGGAGATGCCCCCGGCTGACTGGGTGCGTTATTTGTGGAGATCCAAAGCCACAAGGGCAGGCTGAGCGGTGCAGAAGAAAAAGCTGGTGGGGGGGGCCTAGCCTGGAAAGGGGCCTTGGTATCCACCGGGAGGGCTGGGTGCCCAGTGGGGAGAAGGGGGCGCAGTCAGAGATGGGCAGGTGGGCATCAATGCAAGCTGGACCAAGGATGCAGGTGTGCATTGTTAGAGCCAATCTGTGCAGAAATGGGGGCCAAAATTGGCTGCAGTACTCCAGGTGTGGCCTCACTAGTGCTTTATAAAGCAGTACTACTACTACTACTACTACTACTACCTCCACCAATAATAGTAATAATAATAATAATAAAGCTGGAAGGGACCTTGGAGGTCATCAAGTCCAACCCCCTGCTCAGGCAGGAAACCCTACACCAGTGGTTCTCCACCGGTGGGTCGGGACCCCATTTGGGGTCGAACGACCATTTCACGGGGGTCGCCAAACAATGCAGTCCGCCATTTTTTCCCCCTTTTCCTTAGTTGTGCTCCTCCCTTTTATTCTATTGGCTTTTGAAAGCCAATAGAATAGACTCTCTTGAATAGAGTCTAATTCTATTGGCTTTCAAAAGCCAATAGGAATTGTCCAGCTGTCTCTGCCCTGCTGAGCCCGCCAAAAGTCCCATTCTGCAAACGGTGCTGCACCAGTTGAGTAGTCCTCGACTTACGACCGGTTGAGTAGTCCTCGACTTACGACCGGTTGGGGGTCGCAGCATTAAAAAGGTTGAGAACCACTGCCCTACACCATTTCAGACAAATGGCCGTCCAGTCTCTTC